TATTTTTATAGGTTGGCACAAAAAAAAGAAAGAAAAAACCCATAAATTAGCAAAGAATATGGTTGAATCTTCAATTATTTAACGTTATAACGTGCTTCATGCTTTTCCAGTCGTTTTTGTATCGCCCTTTTTATAGAGATCTAGTCTACCAACAAACCTATATTTATGAATCTTAGCAAATGACTCTCACTCACATAGTTGCATATATATATATACATTGTTAAATTTAAAATTCACAAACATAATGGATTTTGTAATTAGACTGCACCTATACGGTTTAGCTAACAGTGAAAATTATATAGCTCATGAATAGTAAATGTGTGGAAATGAGTTTCTAAAGCCCAGCCCAAGTTCTTTTTTAAGACTTTAATATTTACAATCATGTTTTAATCCTATAATACTTTAATGGTGGTGTTAAAGCCTCCTACTAAAGTAACAAAACACACATCTTAATTTGTTTTTGTTTTCTTTAAGCCAACAATATATGTTTAATATATTTGAAGTCACAATCATAGTTAAAGATTAAAGAAGTTAGAGCCGTAAACAACATTTCAGTTTAGGTAGAGTTTAAACTTTAAGGTGCATATGGCAATAAAAGGTGTGATCCAGTGGTTTGTTATTGCTAGTAGAAGATTTGCCATATATTAAGGCCATAGATCGAATTTTAAAATATACAAAAAATCAATATGGTTCCTTCTCTGTTGTCTTAACTTTTTTTTTTTTTAATGTCATCTAGATCTTATTAAAAATACCAAAAAGGATACAAAGGTGGAATACATTTGTGGAATACGTTTTTGAAATAATAAGTCGGAACCTCCATAATTTAAGCCTTAGAGTAAAGGAACTAAGTTAAAGTCCTATTCTATGAAAAATACACAAGGAAGCAAAACAAATGCAAATCCTAAGCTCATAACTTATACAAAATACTAAAATAGACCAACAACCAATCCCATAGAAAAGGTAGATATCGAAGCGTGCCAAACGACGAGAGATGAGCTGATCCTGTAAACATTGAACTCACGAAAACAGCAACACTAGCAAGAATGAAAGCAGGCCCACAGAAGCATATATAATGCACAAGAACTAATACCGTCAAAGTCACTCCAAAGAATCGATGAGACTGAATCGAACAAAGCTCAAGGAAAAAAACCTTGACATTCATCTGGGGAAACACCAACTAGGATCACCAACTCTTACACGCAGACACAGCAAGCTAACCTCTGTCACAGACAAAAGGTCAACCACCTCCTCGCAAGAGAAAAAAATCGAAGAACGAAGCCAATGCAGAATCATGAGCTCAACAACAAACTCCTGAGGAGTTAACCAGTGAACTAGTACACAACTCTTAACAAATTTCGAAAACTAGTTCGAAGTTCCGATAAAACTCTATTCCGAATATATGAAAATAGTGTATAGATGACTTCAAAAATCGTTTATGATCATGATAAAATGAAATGATTTAAGGTTGTTTATCAAGTTATTGTGCATTACAAGTTATAAGTAATGTAAGAAAAAGGTTACTTTTACCTTAATCTAGAATGAATAGATTGAGATATTTGATGGTGGAATGAAAAAAATACCAATATTTAGTCTTACCAAATAAGGAAAGGGGAAGATTCCTTAAAAGTTATATTTTCTTGCAAATCTGGACAAATTGAACGGCTGAGATTTGTAAACCAACTTATCATCAAATCTATCAATAATAATTGAATATATACTAATAGATTAATGGAGTGATTGGTGAGTGGTTGAATAATATGACAATTGACGTAACCCCACTGTCCCTCTGTCTCCATTAAGGTTTATCTCTCTTACTCTCTCCTCTCCTCAATACATAAAGAAATAGTAGTTGGCATATTGGACCCATCCTTTCGTTTGGGTCCCAAACGTGTAAACATCACACTCTCTTATTCTTTATTTCATTACATATTATCATTTTTTAGTATAGTTTATGTTGTGGTCTAGATTATCTTTCTGTTCCTCCAATTATTTGGAATTGAAGATGCAATCTCATTACCAAAAACAACAAGAAATCTTGCGGAAGGTATGTGTAAGGATGGTTAAAATATCTGTAATAATACATTTCAGACAATTCCAAAAATTGTTTATAGGACTTAATTAGCAAATATTATAATTTTATGCATATCAAATAATATTATTATTTGAGTATTCACTTTTAAAGAGGATGACCGGAATATTATTATCATTGTGTCTCGCATCAAGAAACTCAAACACGAGAACAAATTAACAAGCCGTTAGAGAAGAAATAAGAAGATAATCCGAAACCACTTTCTCTTTATAGATCAACCATAACAAAATTCTGACTCTCTTAGAATCCGGGTACGCGTTAGAAAATATTCTAAATTTAAAACGTGGTTAGGTGGCCAAAACGACTTAAATCCAGGATTCTCCTATTTGAAAGTTATCACTAGACCAAGTGTTAAAAAGTAAGTGTCAAATAGTTTTATTTTATTTTTAATGGAAAAAAGCAAGTGTCAAATAGTTCAAGATTCAGCTCCAAATATAATCACGTCTTCTTCTATCGAATTTTCTTTCGGTTATTTCCCCAACAAAATTTAAAAAGTTAGCTAGCAAGCTAAAGTACACCGAAATATGTAGTTTACATTTCTT